GGTCACTCATGGGAGTAAAAGGGTTAAAGTGGCTTCCTTAGAATTACATTTAGGTTTAAGTAAGACAATAAAGGACCTCATCACTTCATCTTTGACAAGAATGATAAAAACTAACTCATAGGTGAAAAATTTTTACAATCAACATTGACTTGTGCAAACTTTTGTAGTTTTCTGAATCTTTGGATTTTTATTACAGAGGGCTACTAATTTAAATTGGGCTACGGAAGTCAAGTCCCTAATTATTTTCAAACTTACATTCCTGTAGTGGACCACATAGATTCATCAACAAGATCCAGTGCAGCATGTGCGATAAACTGATTGAGGTGTCTGTGATCATCTCTCTGAAGATTTACAAATCAGGAAAATACAGACTGTTGTACATGTACATGTAATCACATCATTTATCCACTGCCATCCACATCCATTTATCCACAGGCATCGCCCAAGTTTTTGTTTAACAATAGTGTTGAATACAGTCAAATTAAAGTACCACCAATATGCAAGCAGCCAAAGCTAAACGTAAATCGTGTGAATTTTGATTATCATTTACAGTTTGAACTGAGTGATCATTGAACAGGGCGAAAAGTTACCTTATAGCTTTCGCGGCCCTGAGACGAATCCATAGATTTCGTTGGTGTATTGAATTCCATTTCAAACACTGGATTATCGCGGTGTCCGACAATTGCAAAGTAATAGTTTCCCAGCATTTTGATCCCTGGAATTATAACATTCGTTGTCAAAATCTAACTCATTTCAGTGCTTCACTTTCCACTGTATAATTTGTCGTTTGACCGAGGAAAGTTTTCTTCCAGGCGCTCAAATCTTGACCGAAAAGACTGAGGTGAGCTGATATCTTGTCCAATCTCCCCTCTGTCAGATCCAAAATGGCGGTCAGTCCCATCCCACGCATCCTTGCGCGACGAATTTTTCCGCCAATGGCCTTGCCAGGAAAGAACCGTGTGGCGCGCAGAGAAAATTTGTGCAAACTCCTTAGTTTAATTTGCAGATAGTTTGGCACATTATGGCTTAGCAACTATTCGACAAGCAGTAAAATCAAGGTTTTGGAACGGATCTAACGACCTTGCAGGTAATTAGATAAGTTTGCCGGTACAATTGTGGAAGATTGTTATGTTTTGGAGCGCTTAATTGAAGAGCCTCCAGTTTCCTAGCAGTGAAATATACAAAAACCCCGCTGTACATGCATGCAATTAACTGGGTTAAGGTTGTTAAAGCAGTAGCCTCGTCAAACGAACGTGTTTGATCGTGTGCTCTATTTTGATTCATCTATGTTTTATCATGTAACGATTTCACTTCTTAAGATGTGAGATTTTTCGCTAGCAAAATAGTTATTTAAGGTTGTTCGTAGTTCGCAAGCGCCCTACAATTAGTCGGAAGGTACGGAAGATTAACAGTGGTAAACAAGCCGTCCATGTCCTCAAAGAGGGGTCTTTCTTCGCCGTTTTGAGCTCGAAAGCGTGATTTGCATGTTGTGCCTTTTTTCTTTTTTCTGTTAGGTGGTAAATCTGATCAGTTAATGTAATTCATTACATAGTGAAAGCGGATGAACTTACGTTCGGTGACATGTCATATCTAAATACTTGTGCTCTCAAAACAGTTTACGGTACCCTTTTCAGTACCAAACTGTCTAGAAGAACCACCTTATCATCAATGGCTTCAAATTGTTAAATATATATTTCTAATTCTCCTTGTACAGCTGCAATAGCCACATGTAAACTTTTACTAAATACGTGTTTGTAGGTATTGTACGATAACGAGGTAATCATCAATATTTTATTTTGAATTGCAAGCAGCAGGGTTTGGCTAAAAAAATACAAATTTTAGAATTAAGCTTGACTGAATTCTGACTGGAAGTGATCTACATTGTTCTCTCAATCAACAGTGTCCTCCCTTGAGACACCTTATTAATGTGTTGGCCAGATAACCTAGACTCACTAATAAATATGTACTCTATATTCCTGTAGAAGTAATGTACCACGCATGTTTACATTGGGAAGCACTTTTTCCTGCAAGCTTAACTAGGATGAAGTTGTTTTCTGAGTGATAGCTTGGCTTATGACCACAACCTGATTACTGATCAGTGGAACTGTGGTTAAAGACCTCTAAGGGGTGAATTTCTTGATGTCTCTTGAAAGCTGCATTCAGTTTGAAAGGGCGCATTTCCTGGTGTTAAATTAAGGCAGATAATTTTTGACCATAGAAATTTTAAAATTGTCTAATATATGACATTAGATATGCTTTGTCATTTGATTATTGTATTGTCTTGCCTTAAAACTACAGTCATAAATATACATACTAGTGACAGATCTCAGAATTAAGAACTGGTTCACTAGTGGAAAGAGAGTTGTTTGAGAATAAAAACCTGTGAATAGTTTTTCTTGACTACCACTTTATTTAGGTGAGAAATATCATTGTTTTTTAGGTCACTCCTGTCTATTTCACTCAATCGCACTTCATTCCTCACTTTTTTAGTTAATGTGTATTCTTGATTAAAATTACCAGGAAGCCTTTGAAGAATCATGGCTGATAGATTCCCATCAGAAGATGCAAGTCGGTCATCCCAGCCTTTGCGTGGACCATATTCTGAGCCGAGATCACAACGACAAGCCCCTCGTCAATATCCAGCTAGTTTGGATACTGATCTAAGCCTCATTACAGAGCTTCGCAGGTCTGAAGAGGAAGCTTCTGGACATAGATCCCTGCCAAATAACTTGGTAAAATTTTATCATGTAAACTTTACAAACATTTTTTTCTTCTTTTGGAATTACAGGTCCTGTTGTGTGTATATATATATATGTGTGTGTGTGTGTGTGTAAAAAGTCATGTGAATATTGGTGCACAAGTGGTGTTCTTCTTGTTTTTTACTTGGTGATTTTTCCATAGTACAGTTCTTTTGTTGAACTGGGATTCTGCTAAAAGTCTTCCAGTTTTGCATACCATGTGAGAAATTCATATGCAGGTGAAACCTGCAGATTTGGGTTATTTCTTTATTCATACACAGAGTTCTAATGGTTAATTTGTTTCACACTCACTTCACACATGGTCACATGTGTTTCACGCATTTTTCACATGCACTTTACTGTTAGTGAGTTTGAAGCTCACCATTACTGGACTAAGTCATGAGATTTTCTATTATTATTTCCAATAAATTTCCCTCTTATCAGGTTCATTTTTGTAGTTCTCAAATCGTCAGTCAACCCTTTGACCTTGAAGAGGGTCTGGCATCTTATTTCTCCTTACAGTATTGCCCCTGAATTACACATGAAGGTCACACAAATAAACTAAATGATCACCAGCTTAAGTAGCTCTTGATTGTTGAGCAATTTCTCCTTGTCAGCACCTCTGGAAATGTATAGAGAACAATACAGAGAATAAGCATACTGATGGTAGGGTGTGAAGGGTTAACTACTTCTTTCCAATATACTCAGCTGCACTTTGATACTAAAGGTAACTTTTATTTGTCGTTGAAAGGGATGGTCTTCAAGAGCAAGTGCTCTCTCACCATCAGCTGCAAGTGGTGCAACAAAAAAGAAAGGAAAGCACTTTGAGCAGGTGAAGCTGCCTCCTAAGGCTGGCTCAGCTAGCCCCTCTTCTGATGGTACCCATTTCACTAGAAAACAACACCATACACCAGCTACAGTTCCAAGAACACGCCTACCTCCTGGTACCCCTATGGCGGAGAGGTTGGCTATGGAAAGTTTAAAGCAAAAACTGTCTTTTGAGGAAAAACCTGAGGTCAGTTTGGGTTTGTGGTACTCACTGTAAATCTCCAGCCTTAAGTTCAAATACCTTCTGTCATGATTTATTAAATTTGTAATTATTTTTTGATAACAACCATTACTTGGTAAATTAAATGTGAAAAAATTCCATTGCTTTAATATTTTTGTCATTGCCTGGAAATATGAGAATTACCTGGAAACTTTTCATGGGACTAAAATACAGTTAACAGTCCATTCATTTTACAGTTGCGTGCTTAGTTGCCAAGCCTTTGAACAGGAGTGAGGCTAAGTGTGACCTTGTTATGATACAAACTTGCTGCTATTCAAATGTAAATCTCTTTGTTATCATGCTAACCAGATACTGGTCCTTATCACAATAAGGTCACTTTCAGCCTCACCCAAATCAAAGGCTTGGCAACTAAGTACACAATTATAAAATGGCCAATTGTGATTTCTACGTTTTTCATTGATATGTGAGACATGATTTTGGAGATTTGTCTCTGAAAATGTGTAGTAGACACTAGTTGTCAGCAATTGTTGTGGAAACCTCATGGGAAATGTTTGTAGTATTTTAACCCTTTCACTCCTAGGTCTCATTAGCAATGTTCCTTAACATCTGCCATACAATACTTATAATGTTAGTCTGGAGAAGTTGGTATTGGATCAACTAACAATCCCCTAATTACTATTTTCTTTATTCTTATCACTTGTCTGCTTGATATTTTATTGATCTTGTAAGGAGAAATTCGGTCTTGGTCACTCATGGGAGTTAAAAGGTTAAAACTCATTCCTTGGGTGTAATTTAAGAATCTTGATCCATTCTATCTGTTTCTGTATTTGACTATCCTTAACAATACAGCTTAACATGAACTTGCAAGTTTGTTTGTGGATCCAAACTCTAGTTTGCATTTTCTCGAATGGTGTGGTTTAACTGTCTCTAACATGTACGTGTAATTGGATTACAGCGTGACGAGGAGGGTCCCCGAAGTAGAGGTGGGAGATCATCACAAAATCAATCATCTAGCACAGCTAATAATGAGAGAGCATTACCTACACAACCAAGAGTACCAGCCACTGCCAGCTTACCAGTGTTGGAGATGAATGAAACTGAGACAGCAAGGACTTCTACAGAGGTAGCTCCTAGATCAACAGCTTCTAAGGTATAAATTCTACAAAGTTTGGGTATGATATAGTCTATGCTGTGTGGGTTTATATGTCTACTTATGCACATGCATCCTGTACTTTATTTACACTTATTTTATAATAAGGTATACAGAGTTCTCACTTATTTTACTTATGATAAGTCAAAAGAAATTTTCAAACAGGTAAAGCAATCCTTTTCCCTATTGAATTTACAAGATGTTCAAGCGACTTTTAAAAAAAGCCACCACAGGCTGTAAATTTTACTAGTTATGACCTGGAAAGGAAAACACTGAGAATAGCTTGTTTAATGTTTGTGCCCTTATTTGTGGTTTTAGACTCATTCAATAATGGTATCTCTCTGTCTATTAAACTCTATTAACTAACAATTGGTACAGTTAAACTAATATTTTCCAGTAGCATTCTGTGATTTTTGTGAGTTAATTTGAGCTGATTTTATCTTTTGCTGTTCAAGGTCAACACACCTTTGATCATTGCAAGGCTCAATCAAGTTCGGGTGAGAATTTAAGGAAAATATACAGAAGAAACTTTGAAAAAAAAAACCAGTAAATTCTGGTAACTTTTTTACCCACTTATTTACATTAGCATCCTGATTTTTCACATCTCAGTGAACAAGGAAGTTTGTTTGAATTATTGGATAGGAATTATTTGCTTGGGAGGAGCGTGGAAGACAGTTTGTTTCTTAATGTCAGGAGTTTGGAGAATATGAGGGTTCAAGAGTAAAGGATTTCTCTTAACCCTTTAACTCCCAAGATCCGATTGTTAATTCTCCCCTCTTGCTACTACACATTACCTTGTCAATTGGTTGTGAGAATTTGGTGTTGGAGCAAGATAACATCTGCCTGATTAATCTGTGTATTCTTATTAACTGTTTGTTGGATAATCTATGGATATTTTAGGGAGAGGTTACATGTTAATCACTTCTGGGAGTTAAAGGGTTAAGGTATTTACTTAGAGGTTGCAATTATTTCATAATGTTCATACATTGCCTTTAAGTGCATGAGCGTAATCAACACCATTGACCAGTTGCATGTGCTGATAATGTGTCCTTTTATTCTTTCATCAGGGCTTTCTCAAACAAGCTACTGAAATGTTTGTCACTTTACAAAGTACAGGCAGTGATGAAAGGGTAAGTTAATACACTGTACTGTATGTGAATATAGTCTGAAATGGGAGAAAGTCCTCTGCTGTATTCTTGCTTTTCCCCTTTTGTAGGAAATTCAATTCAATTTGTAATTGTGATAGTACTGATTTGATGCGTGGGAGTGGATTCACAGTGAACATTGTGTCATACCTTTAGATGTGTTATTTTTTGATTTACTTCTGTGGCAACTTTTTATTCATTATTAATTGATATAGTGCTAGGCTGTACCAATTAACTTTTGAATGTTCTCCACACAGTCTAGTGAACTAAATGCACAAGCAGTGAAGATTGCAAGGCTAATCAAACAGCTCAAACAGCAAGAGAAAGCTTATGTAGAACTTCTTGAAAGATCAGTGGTGAGCTTTTCTCATCAATAACACATTAACATGTGTACAGTACTGTGAAGAAGTAATGAGAGTTAAATCTGCAAAAGTTACACTTTGTTGGCATAAATTTCTTAAGGGATTTCACATGAAATTTTAAGCCACTTTGTCATGTTGGTTTTGCATCATTGTGTCAAGACGAATGAGGACATTCTTAGTCACAGTTTCCATTAACGGGCATATGGACCCAAGGTTTTTCTCTGTTCTTGAAAGGCATAGAGGGTTATTGAGATTAGTTGGGCTTGAGGTGTTGCTTTGACTGTAGGGTTCAATTGCCAAAAGTTTTTACACAACAGGACATTTTGCTTCATGTGGGTCATATGTGACTGATGAAAAAGGCTGCTCTTCTGCTGAACCATTCTTTGTCAATTATATGGGAAGTTTATAATACTCTGAGAAAATGGTTGTTATTGTACAGTTATGGTATCTTTGAGAAATTTCAGCATCTTACCCCTTTCTTGCTAAAAGTTTAATAGAACATATTAATATAGGTAATTTCTTGTAAGACTAGCTAGAAATTTTAGCACCAGAGATGGATGCTGTCAACATTACTTGTGCAAGAAAAATTGATTTTCAGTATCCTTTTAACAATCAGTCTTTTTTATTGTTGTTTTTGTTCTTTTAACTTACCAGGCTGTTGAACATGATTCAACTTTAGAAAACACACCATCTCTGAGTCTGCAGTCACTAACAGAGGAGGAAAAGGTATGTCAAATATTGTTCTAGAACTGTAATTTCTGTATACTCATGATTGTACATTAGATGAATGTTCTTTTCACACTGCACTAATTGCTCAGATAAGCTAAGAAACAAAGCAAAGAAAATAAATACTGAGGTGATGTAGATTTCAAATTATTTGACACAGCTACTGAACATACATGTACATGTGCCTTTAATGTAGAGTGAGTCAGCATCTATAAGAGATGAAGAGCTTCAAGGGCTACGTCAGCAACATGCTCTATTGAAAAAGATGCTGGAGCAGCAACAGCAGGTAAGAGAGAGGAAAAAAATTCTTCCCTGATGCAGAAATGATGGCATACTGTTTTAACTTTACTGCTTTTACTAAACTTTGGTTATTGATATAACAGCTGAAGGAACTACAAACCCGACAAGCTACTCTGTTGACGTTGCAACGTGATGCAGAAATGCGTTTGGCTGAGGCAGAGGAAGAAGTATGTTGAACTCACTAATTTACTTAGCTTTAACCAAAAATTATGTTGGAGCTTATATTGTGTTTTTTTTATTTATTGCATACCTAGCTGTTTTTTGTATGCTGATTAATTTATGACTTGAGAAACAGTAAACCATATTACACTGTATGCTGCAACTTTCCTTAAAACATTGTTTAGGGAGCAGGTGCTTTCTAAGTTTCAATAGGAAGTATCCTCTCAGCAGCGAGCAGGTTTCCATGGCAACTTATCAATTGCCTTACTTGAGGCTCCAGTCATTTAAAACAAATGTATGCAGCCTCATTGATAACATATTTTTTTCTTTTTCCTGGAATGAGTATGCATATTGTCTTAATATTCAGCCCCTTTCAGAAAATTCCTGACAGCATGTTCAGTGAGTTTTACCTGGATAACATAAGTTCATCTTATCCAACTCAAGGGCAGAGTAGACCCTGATGAACCAGGTGCAATTGGAGGTGAAGATGATGAACCTAGCAGAAGCAGAGGTGCATCAGGAACTTCCCAAGCTCTAGCACAACTGGATGTTGTTCCTGAGGTATTGCAGAATAGAGTTACATTGAAAATAATATGGTTTACTGCTTACTTCAAGTACCTTCAAAGTGTTTAGGATCACTATAAAGGAACATAAACTAAATTGCCTTATTTGGGTGCCTTTGAAGCCAGCCATTGTACATGTACATATTTCCATTTTTCTAAAATGTACAAATTACTCTTATTTGGCTATTGTATACTGTATTGATAATTACACAAAGTATGATTTCCTTTATGTGCAAACATGATTTACAGTTAGTTGGTACCTTAAATCAATACAAATTCAACAAAGGAAGTAGCAGTTTGTTTAACTTTCCTGGAGAATTGTATCACTTGACAGCACTCCAAGCTCACCCTTAATCAAATTTGCCATTTGGCAAACCAAAATGATAATTCGGTGGCCATTTATAACTTTTTTGTGACCAAAGTAGAGAAGACTTGGGGCCCTGACTTTCTTGGGTGTGATATATGTACTTCCCTATGGTATTGAAAGCCATTTTATTGTACTGAAGGTTTACATTATTATGTACTGTACATGTTTGTATTATTTTATTGTTTAGAGACCAAGCACTAGTGTCCTGACAGATGACAGGCGGTTTACACCTGAAGAATTAGAGCTCATCAACCTTCTCAGAAAACACAAGGAAAAGGTTTGGTTACATAAAA